CCTATTCTCTGAAATTTAATCTAATGATTGAAATTCTACCCGCGTGTAGACACTTTGGATGCATTAGGCTACGCAGTGTGACTGCGAACGTGCGATGATAAAATACATTTGTCGCCGTTGACAAGTTTAGCAGAATACTCGACCATAACTTATTAATAACAGCGCTCGCTCGTCAAACATTAACCCGTAAGTTTACACACAATATTGGGACGTTTTTATCACAACAGGCGGCAGAGAAAGAAAGTCAACAAAACTGGTGACGCTCTGCCCTTTGGAACCCCGCATCTGGAAAGAGACTCTGGACTTTTAATAAAATTGAGGGAAACTGATAATTATTATTTTTTTTTTACGAGGACAGACCATTTCTCATATGTTTCATTTCTGATTTATATCTGACGATTCATAGCATCATCCTTATTTTTTTTGTATTACAATGTAACTGTGGATCCGTTTTATGTTAATTTTTCTGTTTTGATGGATACTTGAAAGGAATACAGAAGGTCATTGACATCCAAAAAAAAAGTGAATCCTTTCATCATGATATTTCTGACATTTTACCCCCAAAATTGGTTTTAATTAATTTGTATTTTCAGATATTTGTTGTTAGGCCAAAAAAAAAAATAATCGGTCTCTGGTCAGACTGAAGTTCTGGAATTGATGCGGCGACGCGTTTTTTTTTTTTTTTTTTTTTTTTTTTTCAAGCTTGAATTGTACAGACAAGGTTAGTACTATTTTGCTTTTTTGTGTCCTCATTTTAATATACATGGTGTCCTCCATATTTTGCCTTGGTGCCCTTTATCATTTGCCTTGGTGCAATTTCCCCATTCCTTGGTGCTCCTTGGTACAACAATTTGAGGAGGTGCGGCAATAGAGGGCGCTGTTGTAGCTTCCGTGTTAATTTGAAGAAAAAAAAGAAGGTTGACGCGCATGATTAAAATCGACGCGCGCGCTGACCAGAGACCGAGTATTTTTTTTTTTGGGGCCTTAGTTTTCAGGTTGTTTATTTCTGGTACATGTACATGTGCCAGTTTAGGCCTATATTCGTACAATTTAATGTACATTGAATGTTACCATACTACATTACTTATACAATACTATTTTATCCATTCACTTCAGTTATAAATACAGGTAGTAGCCAGGGCCTATGCGTACGTGCAATGCAGCATATTTCTTGATGCGTACACCACTCACACCGTAGACAGAATTGCCAATGATAGACTTTGGCACAATTCCAAATATTCCATATTGCAGACAGTCTTTACGTTATGTACCGGTAGCTTAGAATGGGTTTAACGTATAGTAGAAGCCGTGGTAATATTATACACTCAGTCTGGGCCGGTCTGGGGTCCACGTTAAAGGGACAGTGTCAAAATTATAAAGTTACAAAAACTTACAAATTGTGTCATATTAATTAATGCCATAAAGGATTGGATGTTAGGTGATTTACTAGGAACTTTCCTCATCCTTGCAAATCCCACCACCATATGGTAAACTGTGCACAACTGTTTATTTGTGGTATGCCTAATCCCACGTAAAGCACAGTCAGTTTACTACATGTAGTGCAGTACTCATCCTAACAGATTCCAACAAACCCTGGTGTTGGTGTTTGGCTGGTTTGGGATCGTTAGGGTTAAAGGATTTATACTCACATTGTTTAACCCTAACCCTGCTCAATCCAACGGGATCCAACTATTTTACATATCCGTTGGGTCCTGCTGGATTGAGCAATAAACCCCTTGTGTATATTCCTGTTGGAATCTGTTGGATTTAGTAGGCAACTGAAAACAATCAGAGTCGGATTCTGTTGGGTTCTGGTAAATATTTGCCACGTTGGTCTCTGTTGGATCCAGCAGGAAATAGAAAAAAAGGCCCTGTTGGATTCTGTTGGATTCAGCATGCCAGTCCTGCTCAGGTAGCCAACAACTTGGCAAGTTGGATTGTGTGGGAATGTGTTGGATTGAGCAGGAAACTCATATGAGAAACCATCAGACTTTGTTGGATTTAGCAGGAAAGAGAAAAAAGGCCCACATATAAAATGACTGGCATGCTCAATCCAACAGAATCCAACTGGGCCAGTTGGATTCTGTTGGATTGAGCATGCCAGTCATTTGATATGTTCAGGTAGCCAACAACTTGGCAAGTTGGATTGTGTGGGACTGTGTTGGATTGAGCAGGAAACTCATATAGTCCCGGGGAACTACATTTACCATACTAGGGGGTACCATGATATTTGGTAAACAATTTTTTTGATGCTGTTTGTTTTCTACTGATTTGTTGTGTAACTCCCTAGGCCTTTTTGCTACGATGTAGCCTCAATCCTTCAAAATCATCCAATTGGCCTCATACATGTCATAGTAAAATAGGCCTATAGCCTCAAACCTGCAAATTCCTCCATTATGCCTATTTCTTGAATATGGTCTGTGGAGGGGTGTCAACTGCCTGAATCCTGCAAAATCCTGCGGCAGTGACTGTCAATATGTTGAGGCTTGGTCAGTGACATCCTGAAGCAGTACGGAGGATTTCAAGCATAATCCAGTCCTATATTTATGCATGGCTGAGCAAAAACAACACAAGCTCCGGCCCAAGACCTTGACAAAGTGCATCCTACGAAATCAGTAACACTTTCCATGTACCGGTAACCTCAAATCCCCCCCCCCCCAATTCCTCCACTTTGGCAAAGAGGATTTTGAAGGATTCAGGGCGGTTAGGGTTACGTGTAATTAATTCACCTGAGACACTTTAAGGTCAGTGTGAGTCCAAAGACAGCCACGGGCACATGTTCTGTCAGAGGCATAATTGCAAGGCCAATAAATGTGAACAGCGCCATCTAGTGGCCAGACAAGATCCAACCCGATCATTGCAGTGGTTGCTTTGGTGATTTGAGTCTAGATGGAGCATTGCCAAGTATCAATGGTTAGATCCCTAGCGTTGTTGTTTCCTGGCCAAGTAGTGGGTTGAATCAGGATATGCCAGGCAGGCTTTCCCGTCCAAACTGGATGTGACCGAACATCCCCTCGAGTCTTTCCATTTCCTCATGGCATTTGGAATATAGCACAGTTTACATTTTTTTTCCTGATACATTGTAATTGTGGTAAATATTGTGATACATGAACATATGTGTGGACAGTTTGTGTTTATGTTCGTTTCTTTGAAACATGGTCGCTTCCAACTTGGATTTAAAGGAATTAATTCCTTGTTTTTCTCAGAATAAGTATATTTTGTGTGAAAATAGCAATTTTGTTTTACCTGAAACTCTGGGGGTTCAAATAACACAAATTTCAAACCCTGAGACTTTGGTCTAGCTGGGGCAGAATGAAAACAACACCACCCAAAAACAACAAAACAAAGAAAGAAAGTAAAATTCTACATTACATTTTTCAAACCATTGGCATCCTGAAATTATATGATACGTGTATCCGTGACAGAATTTCTGTCCAAACATTATTGACAAAAGTATCTTCTTTTTGAAAATGTTCTGTGACAGAATTGTAATGTTCAATATAAGGTTTTTGCCCTTCATCGACGTTTAAACACTGTATACTCATTGCGTTACCTCCCAAGTGAAAGTTGGAAAAAATCACTCGGGTGGGACTCGAACCCACGACCTCCTGCTTTCTAGTGCAGACGTCTTACCACTAGACCATCGAGCATGCCGGGATCGGCTGGCTGGTTGGAATCTGCTCAGCAGGTACCATCGTATTCGTAAGATGGAATTTGCGTCGGGGAGATGTAAAAGAAACTTGTTTGTGATGATATCATCATTTCAATTTGATTAAGGTTGACTTTCATTTTGTACTCGGCAATGCATCCGTGTTTGTCAGTAGAGTACATCTATGATGATTAGTTGAGGAATGACCATACGTAGCTGAGGCTCTATTTATAGGCTGCCAGTACTTGCAGATTATCAATAGGAAGCCATGCTTGTCACAGCTGACCCACAGGCTTCCTGGGTAGGCACAGACAACCTTCTCTGGCTTTGCAATTGCCAGAGGGGTGCTCAGTTGTCTTCAGTCCTGTGAGAGAGGCTACTTCGTCTTTCTAAAATTCAGACGTGTCAATGTGGGAAAAAAAATGGGTAAAATCCTCCAACAATTTAAAGGGAAGATACAACATTTTGCAAATATAAAAAAAAACGAAATGATCAAATTATCACAAAAATCTTACTGGATTGTTAGGGAATGACAGTCCAAATCATCCTGTAAAATCATGGCTCCTGGTGTGCTGACATTATCAAGACAATTTGTATTTTTCCAACACTGGTCGGCTGAACAGCGTTGGAAAAAACTGACTTTTTTTAAAAAGTCCTTCCAATTTTCCTATTTATTTATTCCTCATTTTCTTTGCAATTGATCACACACCTGTGAAAGGGTACAAACCTTCTTAACTGATTCTCTAACCTTACAATTCCCCAAAGTCTATAAATTGCTCCCTTTCATCGTACGTGGGGTCAGGGAACCATAATTGATAATGATAGGCCCTATTGATTTTTAGCAAAACGAAAACAATCCAGATTAAAAAAACACATCAGAACACTCTCATAACCATGACACAATGTACATGCAACTTTAATTACCATAACCTTTATTTAAACACCTTCTGCTTCCAATGTTAAAACAGCATGTTTTATAATTTAATGTCAAGAGTTTATAGTCTTGCCCTGCCTTCTACTTGGCTACCCTGGAGACTTATGGGATTATTCCGATATCTTTTTCAGGATACAACATGGTTTCAATTTGTGTTCCAAATTCCATAACTCAAAAAGTACATGAGTGATTTGAATGATTCTTGTACTAAAACTAAGAAAGCTTATTAATGGGGCTTTCACGTCCTGCATGTAAATTGGGAAAGCACTACATGCAGAACTTCTCTACAAAGTAGGGGGCGCCATTTTTTTTTTACTCACCCAGTATCATTGAAATGTAAATCCATGTGTACTTTAATTGAAAACCTAACTGTTGGTTGCTCACCAAACCTGGAGATTACATACATAATACAAATGCACGTGTCAAGCCGAGTTGAACAAGCCACAAGGGAAGGCTCTTCCGGCATATAAGTTGAGGAAACCCCCCTGTACTGATAACAGCTTGACCCAGCCTATAACTATAAGCTAACCCAGTTCGGTAACGAATCCACTGGGCAACTTCCCACTACGGGGAAACCTGTCTGGCTTTCCCTGATTTGACATTTGAGCTTTCGAGCGTCCCGTTTCTCATTCAAGAAAGGAAGTGATGACTGCCAGCCGGGATATGCTCGTGCCTGATTGCGGCGTTGTTAAACAGTGACTGAACTCGGAGTGGTGGTATTTACTTTGCCGTGCTTGCTGGGGAAAGTCGAGTCTCTTGTCTGACTTGTTGCTGAGTCAATCTGTCTGGTGGCTCGGAAGTTTTTCCTGCGAGCTCTGTTTGGATACACATGCTGTGAAGTTTTGGAAGACTTCTTGTAATACTTCTGGTGTTGGAGTCAGCATTATTGTTTGTAAGTTGTAATTTAAGAGTTATGCTCTTCGCAGTAGCAATTGGTTTTTAGAGTGGAGGGTTGGAGCGGTGAAGTTCAAATTACCGAAGTTTCCATTTGCGAAAAAGCAGTGTTGTGATCAAGTATTTTCCATGATTACAACTTACAAGTCATTGATTGGACATGAGTACAATTTATCTTGTTCTATTTTTTTTGTGGATTGGAGTTTGAAATTGTGGATGATAGGGCTGTCTTTTTTCGAATATTTTAGTATTCGATTACTCGAAACTGCGTTTGACCGAATATTCGGATATTCGAAATTTCCAGCTGCAACTGCGTGCTGCGCCGGTAAAAAGTTGTGCAAAGAGTGTGCCAGTTAAAGTTGCGCGGAAAGCAATATGGGACGCTTGAGTGTTTAGCAGTAAGTGTTTTATAACCGTAAAAGGGCTTTAACCTGCTAAAAGGATGTGACCAATGAACCGCCGTCAACAAAAAGTTACCGTCAACAAAAAAAGTGGCACCTGACACTAAAGCACCACAACTTTATGCTAACATTTACATGTATAACATCATACTCGTGTGTGTACATGTACATGTATGTGCTTAGTTTTTTGTTTCTGAATATTCAAACCGGCAAACAGCTATTCGAATATTTGGTCGATGATCGAATTATTGAGTAATCGGTAGATTAGGGACAGCCCTAGTTAGAAGAGTTACGCGCTTTGCAGTAGCAACTGGTTTCTAGAGTAGAGCAAGGGCGGATCCTGAACACAATTTTGGGGGGGGGCCAAAAAAAAAAATGGTGTCTCCCAAAAAGTGGGTCAAAAAATTATGGCGTGGGGTTCGGGGCCCGCTTAAGGGCCCAGACAATTTTTTGGATTCTCGATGCTCTGTGGTGCGATCTGAGGCAATTTCTGACCACTTTAGCCAATGTTTTTGAGGAAAAGATGGTGGTGTACTCATTGCCTGCCTTTATTGTGACGTCACATAAAAAAAAAAAAAAACGGATCCCCCTGGGTCCGCCCTTGGAGTGGAGTGTTGGAGTGGTGATGTTCAAATTACTGAAGTTTCCATAAATTTGTGACACAGCAGTGTTGTGCTCGAGGACTTTTCACAAGTACAAGTCTGTGTTCAATCATGAGTAAAAATTATCTTGTTCTTATATTTTTGTAGATTAGAGTTTGAATGTGTGGACGAGTATTTCATGAGTGACTGAGATTGAGAATGAGTGTTAAAATGTGTGCGGGATTGCTACATGGTGTTTCCACAAACTTTCACTACCGGTAGTTCATACATGTACCACCATGCAAAGTTTCAAATCTGACTGACGTCATCCTGACGTCACCTCAATTTTTACCAACATGTACATCCCAGTCGTCTGCAGTCTACCTATATGTTCATACCGGTACCAAGTTTGAACCTAATCGGACTTATGGTTCTCTAGATATAGAACTTTAAAATATGTATCTTTAAGATGACGTCAAGTGACCCATGATGACGTCATCATGACATCACTCTTTGGGACGCGTCTCCACCATGGGGTCTTTATATAAGATACTTTGTTTTATGCCAAAAGTGTCTGCGGGAATAAAACCTATACAAAGTCTATGGGATCGGGTTCCCAAAAAGAAGAAAAAAAGAAAACAAAGAAGGAAAAAAAATCAGAACAAAAACAAAGGCTTTTGCACTAAGTGGAAAAGTAAAAATTAAAAAAAATAATACAATTCTGATAAAGTGAGGTATACTTGAAAGACATGCTTTAAATTTTTCTTTTCTTTTTTTCCCCACAGAGCAACGTGAAGAGGTGGAGCAGTTGATTCGTGATGGTGAGACGTCTGACCTCAAGAAACAACCTGAACAAGGTGGGTACACAACCATAAGTCAGGCGGGGTTCTAGAGCCAATATTGGGGGGGGGGGGGGGGGGGGCTAGCAGGTTGGATCCAGAATTTTTTTCAGGTAGGCGTGCTGAAATGTAGACAGTTTTTTTTCTCCAGACACTTAGGCCTCTGAAAATGATTCTCGTTCCATATTTTGAATTGGGAGCGCTGATAAAATCTTGCAATCAGGCACACTATATTAACTAAAAGTGTACAAATGCACCCTTCTCTAGGTGGAGACCGTTCGCATGTACGTCACATTCTTACATTTTGCCAGTGCCATATTTTCTGTATGGAATTTTTTTTGGGGGGGGGGCTAGACAAAATTTACCCCCCCCCACCCCCCTTTCCCAGAACCGCCACTGCCGTCAGTTAAATGGAGCCTAGGCCTGTTATGTACCTTTACGTCTCAGTCTTGAAAGCCCCAAAATGTTTCATTTTCTCTGATTTTGTTGACATTTTTCTTTTCTAATTTTAAAAGTGAACTGATATTCTCACAATCACAGTCGCAGAATTTACCAGGAAGTAACCTGAGTAATATGTATGTACACAGTACCTGGCATGTTTCCCGTGAACATATGTTTTTGCTATTTCCCTTGAAGAATTCCAGGTCAATTCCTGGCCAAACCACCTGCATGCGGAACATGTAAGGTGTTATGAAATGGTGTAGAAAAACTGTTGTATGGTAAAAAGAAATGCAGGTTCATGTTTGACCATCTGTAATGTCCCAAAGCTTGTCGGTTGGAAAATAGGATTTTATTCAGTGCATTTTTGTTTTCAATTTAGATGATTTCTGTATGTTTTAATTGATTCGATCTTTAAAAATCTTTGAAAATTTGTACACAAGGTTTTACCGAGTTTTCTGTTGAGCAGGTGACGGGAAAAATAAGAGAACTTATGTACATGTACATATGTATGCAATTTAGATTTGTTGTGTGAGTTAGCAGAATTTGTCTTCAACATTTCGAAACACACTACTTCCTGGCTTGACTTTGTTCTTTGTATTTAAAACAATGGAAATGATTCATACAGATTTTGTGTATTGTACGTGTACGTTCGATTTTAGGTCATTGTCTTGAGAACATCTTTATTCTGCTTTGTCATTTCTCAAAGCACTTCCTTTGTCCTACTGTACATTACCACAGAAAAACTTTCCTGTTATACATGTACAGAATAGTATTTAAAACAATGTAATAGAAGAAAACATACATACAATGTACATGTACATACATGTTTACATGTACAGCTACAACATTTAGGTACATGTACATTGTACACATAAAATGTTCGTGTTCATGTTGTACATGTACAAGGCATTCATGCAATGGATGTTGATACAGGGTGTTCCCCCCCCCCCCCCCAAAAAAAAAAACCCAAAAATTAACCCTCAAAGCCCCCTCTTTTTCAACTTGAAACAAAATTCATCCCAGCTATCTGGTTTCTGGTCTGCACGCGCATCGCTGTAGCCTCCGTGTTGGCAAAATTAAAAAAGTTGTTCAATGTACATGTACATGTAACATGATGTCTCAAAACCGCCAAACTCACTGGTTTGACTGGAATCCTGCTGTTGCACAATTTTAACATGTTTTTAGATGGGGTTATGATTGAGTTTAAGCTTTATGTGGCCTCCCAAGCCTTTTTGCACTAAATTTAGTCAGGCACCATTTGCAGACGGCGTTGTCATTTTGTAATAGTGTGTCTGGAAGCCAGACTGAGGGAGCGACGGTCATGTACATGTATTACCGTAGGGTTAATCAGAGAAAAAGTTGCATCTCCTTGTTTGTTCATCTGTTGTTTGTACAAATTCAGTATTCAACTTTTTGAAAGTTTTTGCCTGTCTCTGTCATCATGCACACATGTACATCATGTACAAATGTACATGTACGTACTAGTCCATGTACATGTAAAAAACAAATTGTACATTGTACATGTACATGTACAAATGTATACATGTAATGTAGTTTTACAAACATACACAAAAGTGTACACTGTACAATGTAATTAATGTACAATTGTACTCGTGTGGTACAATTATTGTTGTTGAGATTCATCAATTGTCAGTTACTAAATGTATGTGATTAAAATGGTAATGATAGAAACAGAACTGCCCATTTTACCTTTTTAATGAGATGCATTCATGTACATGTACATTGTACATCTATTTGTCTACTGCACATGTACAGTATACATGTACACGTATGTACATGTACATGCACACTGTACTTTTATAGCACCAGTGGACATGTACATGTACCATGTACGTTTACTCTACTGGACTAGTTTTGATACTACATGTACATGTAGCTCTGAGCTTGTGTTTTGCATGTAAATTTATAAACAACTAGTGCAGTGCCCGTCTAAAATGTGCATGTTCGGGAAGCGCAAATTGCTTTGCCGCTGTTATTGGTTGCATGCTTGCAGGGTTTTTGAGAACTGCTCGTGCAAACAACCCACGCGATTCAATGGTGTGACAGGTTGAACGCGCACTCACGTCAAAGTTTATGCCAAGTTTGACGTTGTTTGGGCGAGTGGTTCTTGAAAAAACTGCAAAATATAGCGCAGATACTCACCCCTACTGGACAATGGTATCGCCCTACAATGCACGTGCGCGTGCCTGTCCTTTTTGCATTGTTTGCGTCATATTGAGCACGCGTGCTTTAGCTTAAACATGACGTAAACAACTGAAAAGAACATCAGTACGTGGTGGTACGGTTTAGGCTACCTGTATGTACATGTACTGGCACGTTTGCCTTAGAAAATATTACTTTTTTACAGCTTTTTCGAGAACCGCTCATCCAAACAACTTAAAACTTGGCACTGCACATTCTGTGGTCCCGAGCAATACACCCGCTGATTTTCAACTTCATATGGTGCCCGGTTCTGGAGATAATCGAAATACAGACACTCAGACAGACAGAGATTCCTGGAATTATAGTAAGGATTGTAGTGTGCAAATTTTGATGTCTGTTATCGGTTTTTTTTCAGATGCCGATTCATCTTTCAAGTCTTCAAGGCAGTCTGCTGTCCTGTCATCTGCCGGAAAGGGAAAGAAACGACATCGTCACAAGAATGCCATGAAAGTGAAGATAGCCAAGAAGGTACACAACAAACGCATAACCAAGGCTCTTCAAGCAAAGGATATTCCAGTCAGCAAGAATGCAGACATCCAGGACAGTGTCTCAAATCTCAACCCAAACAATAACGAGAAGCCAGTAATTGAACTTAAGGAACTGGATTCTCCAAAATCGGTTGCAGAAGTGGGACCAGAAGCAATATCTGATAGTTTTATATCAGACGCTGACATTGTCAAGGACAAGTATGACATGATCAAGGAGAGAAGCCTTCAGCGGGCTACTAAAGTCAGACAGACTCCCTCAGAGAAGGATAAAGACATTGAAGGTAGTCCTAAGAAAGGTTTAGACAGTCCAAAGAAATCCCCCATTTCCCCTCTGAAGGAACCTGGAAGCCACTTGCAAAGAAGCCCAACAAAAGCTGAAGTATCTGCTGTTCAGTTATCGTCGAAACCAAGGCATTCAAATTCACAAAGGAAATTGTCTGAGGAAAGTGGACGTTTGCACAGTCGGAGTTTGCTGAGTCAAAGTCAACCCATTGTGAAAGGCCGACAACGCTGTGTGTCAGAGGGGATGCTAACCTCTCAGGAGACTTTGTCTAAACAACATGCTCTTGAAGCTTTGCTTCAAATAACAGGTGTGGAACTCCACACCATGAGCAAAGTGCCTGACAGTGAACAATCTGTGCCACGTACAATGACAACAGTGACTAGTTCGACTCCTAATGTACCACAGACTTCACTCACTGGTTTGAACAAAGGTAGCATGGTAAAAATCAGTGAGTCCGACAGAGGAGTTGTCAAATACCACCTGCAGTCTGACTCGCTGGAAGAGCAGGGTTTGAAACTTGTATACACAGCACAAGCCGTTGGACAAACCAACCAGGAGCAAATTAATTACAGTGCCTATCGCCCACGTAAGAACAGCACAAGGAGCAATGCATCTGATTCAGCTGATGACCCCACTGCCAAAGACTTACAAAAGTGCTGTAAGAAACCTGGACGACACGTCTGCCAATTTTGTGGACGTCGGTGCACAAAGCCAAGTGTGCTGAAAAAGCATATCCGTTCTCACACCGGCGAACGCCCCTACCCATGTTCACCTTGTGGATTCTCATTTAAGACTAAGAGCAATCTTTACAAACACTGCAAGACACATGCACATGCCATCAAGGCAGGACTCACACCCAACTCTGAGGAACTTGCTAAGCTAGCCTTGCCTGATCTAGACGAAGATGACTCTGAAGAGACGGAAAGTGAAGATGAGATAACAACTTGTGATGCAACAACCTGCCAAACAGAACTGACTGTAAAAATGTCACACAGTGATGCCCAAATGCATGTTGGTTCTATACCGCAGTCAGGAATGGAGCCATTCTCAAGAACCTCACAGGACAGAAATACCAAAGGGACTAACATTCCCATGATGCAAGTACCTAGGAGCCTTGCTGTTGTACCAACTATTCCCCAGCAGCAAGCAGATAGCCAAAGCAACCAGGAAACTGTCTCAAGACATTCCAGCTGGGTTCCTACCCAAACTTCAGTACTACCAACAAGTAATATCAAAATGGACATGCCACTTCTAAGTACATTACTCCCCAACCAGTCTTTGAGATCATCCAACATCACATCAGTTGATCGACCCTCTTCTGCTCCTTCTGCATCTGTTGAGTTCTCCACAACAAACCGTTCCCGGCAAGATGGGCATCACACACCAGAGAGCCGCAATGATGATGAAGTAGTCATGTCAGCATCTGGAGCCTCCTCAAGCCAGCTTTTGAAGTCCATAGTTCCCGGAGAGCTAGCTGGCTTCCGTATTGATATGGAAACAAGACGAGCTATTCCTGTCCTTAGTCCTCAACTTGGAACACCAGGATTACCTCCTACAACCCAATCTACTGATGAAGTATCATCAAATCCTAACCAACTGTTAATTCCTCTCACAGGATTTAATATTGTAAAGTCTGGCGGTCAGTATCATGTTCAGATTCCAGTTCAGGGCATCTCAGAAGATTCTCTAACCATGAGCCTTGATGGAGAAACAGGTGCTGCTATAGATGACACAAGCAATGGTTCCAGCCTGACAAAAGGCGTTTCCAAAGAGAGTCTGCAAGAAAGAATCCAGCTTTTGATATCTCAGAACCGTGCGATTGTAGATAATACTGTGCTTGAATCTGTGAAGCCAAGACGTACCAGTGCTTCACGCAGAGACAGTGAGAATAATTCGCCCAGGATAGAGTTGACAGCGGAACCCCCCAGTGAAGGAAAATTTCAAGAAGGTAGAGTCATTAATCCTTCAGGTTACCAAGAGTTTGTGAACCCTGCGGTGCGTTTCAGGAGAAACTCCTTGTCAGAGGCACAGCACCCGCCTTCTGTAACTCATGGGTCTGTGGCTGGCTATCCCCTAGCAGGTGAAGGAAACCTTCTAGAGAGGGTTTTGAAGTCACAGCAGAACACTGCCAAAGGGCCATCTGCTTCTGACAAGCAGATACTTGTTCCATTAAGGAATTTGCCAGCAACTAAAGTTGAACCATCAACCCGGCAGACAGGAAATTCTGGTGACAACAGGAACTCCATCAAAGATCTTTTGATGCAAGACAGGCCACATCGCTTGGCACAGATTGCCCAGCACTCCCCTGTTCAAATGTCAGGTGATTCCCCAGGGGGACGAGGGTCACCTAGTATGAGATACATCCCTGGATCTTCTTGGCCTTTCCCACAAGGTGGAGAGTCGGCCATGCATCAGCTGAGAGGCACGCTGCAGCAACAAAGAGCAGCCCCACATGCACAGGGTCTGATGTATCCATCATTGTATAATACACCAGAGGAGGTCAATGTATCCCAGAGGATTTGTGAATTAAGAGGTACAGGTCGAAGGAGGAAGTACAAATCAGAGAGTGATGTCTTCGGTGAAGGTATGCCTTCAGGACCTTCATCTCCAAAGAGACGAGCCAGGAAAATAAAAGACATGCCTTCTGTGGTTTCTCCACTTGCCACAAGCAGTGTCCAGCATCCTTCCTCAAGTATGGCATCCAGAACTCTCGCAGAACCTCAAAAAGGTGGTGACGTGAAACCTGCCACCAGTCCTCATGGTCACTCTACCTCCTATACTGGACAAGTGTCCTCTTTGCCATATCCATCTCCAACAGCACATATTGCCACATATCCAACCCCCTTTACCTCAAAGAGTGGCTATTCAGCACCCTACACAAGCCATACAGCCATCACCACTCCTGGTCATGTGACCCAAGTACAAAGCCACATGACACCAATGCAGAGTCACATTTCACAAATGCAAAGTCACATGACATCAATGAGGAGTCCCCCGACATCAATTCCAAGTCACATGATATCTCTTGGAGGTGTTCTGTCATCAGTGACAACATCACAGTATCAGATGCCCCGCTACCCTAGCCCCATGATGTCAGTTCCTGGCCTGATATCACATCCTGGGCAACCGACATCTCAAGTCAATTTTCAGGGTACTTACACAATGCAAGGAACACCGGTTCACGTTCCATTTCGCACTTCTGTTCCTCTAACTTCTGTCACTAGTGTCTGCACACAGTCTCAGCCAGTCGTATCAGAGGTGTCTGTTATCCAGCATACACGAATGCAGAGCAAAAGTGAGCCAAGCAATAAGGAGCTGAAACTTGAAGTAAGCCAAGCCAGAGATGGGCCTCATGCGAGTTATCCATGGAACTACAGATACCCAGTCCCAATGCAGAGTCCAGGAGCTGCTTCTCCCTCTAGTCAAGGCCTACATTTGTTGGCAGTTGCTTCTAAAAGTCCAGACTTGTCTTCAAATCTCTTGATGGGTGGTAGGAAGCGTAGTTTCTCTATAACAGAGGGGATCCAGACAGTGAGGAAACAGGAACAACAGATAAAATCGCCATTGCCGAACGGTCCCCCACGGCAGATGGAGAAGCACAGACCAAGTGAGGAAACCAACAATGCATCCCCGATTGCAATGCAGCTTCTGGCAGCTGTTGCTCATGGGTCTTCGTATGCTCCAAGACTCAGTCCTAGGGATCAGAATGTGAACAAGGCGACTAGTGAATCTGGAGTCAGCTTTCAATCACCATCAGCTCAGCCAAGTAAAAGGAGTCTCTCAACACTACAAAGAGGCAACCAGGGCACTGATGTTTCTAACACGGAACATCCCTTGCAATCAGTCTCATCAATTCCACAGCAGAGACAAGTCGAATCACCAAAGAGAATTAAACTAGAGCAAAACTCAGCAAGTCCCAAATCGCCAAGATGTGATGCCAGAACTCCTAGGAGTGATGCCAGCAGGCAAAGTCCCACTACGGTACCAAAGGTCCCAGCCTCTAGACGACATCTGAAACTTGACCTCAAGTCCCCTCTGACATCTCGTATGAAGTCCCCTGGAGCTACAGATTCCCAAAAGTCACTCCTGCAGATTGACCCCAAGAGTCTCCTTACACCAGAAGCACTCTCAATTGCCGAGTCAGTGATGAAACTGGCATCACCCATGAAGGCAAATACACCTATCACTCCAGTGGAATCGGCACGTGAGCTGGGTCGACTAATGGCACATGCTTTCCATAATGCAGGTGGAAAGGTTGAGAGTCTGATCACATCAACACAGGGGACAATGATGATTGGACCCATCGCAACCCCAACTCCAGGATCGGGTAGTGGCTCAACACAATATTTCATCATCCCATCACCATCTTCATCCCAAGCTCCAACAGGTTTTCCAGGGCCAAATACTTTACTTTCTCCTGTTGTCAGCACTCCTTCATTATCGTTGGTCTCACCGCTCAAAAGTCCTTTAGCAACTCCTTCAGTGACATCTCAACTACAGGGGGATGAGGCAGTTGTCTGCACAATTGTTTCTCCTCACTACAAACGTGTACCTCCTCAGAAACCTGACAGTCACGGGTCCTTTGAAAAGCAGGTCTTAAGGCAAGTGAAGACAAATTCAGCATTAAGGCAGAAAGCAAGGTATTCCAAACTGTCCCGTAGCACAGCACGCAACTCTAAAATTACCAGGACAACATGCTGCTGTGACAAACGTCCTCAACCAATGTATGTACAACAAGGAAGTAACCGGAAGATATCTATGTATTCCAACTGGAGAACTGGAGCAAACTTTCCACATCCCCTAGGAATCTCATGGAAGGCTCACCTTGGTTTGTACGATACAAGCAGAAATAAGAAGCCACGTTTTTACTACGTGACTACCAGTATATCACCACCACAGGGTGGTATCGTGACAGACGCGGCAGGTTGGAAACCGGAGACAGCTACTGAAGCACCAGATGCACCATCGACACATATCAAACAGCAGGCAATTAACACATCTACATTGAAGCCATCAGATACAGGATGCACTGACAAATCAATGCTTGAATCTGATGCACTCAAGTCCAAAGAGAAAAAGGTGAAGGAAGCATCAGATCATAATGAACCAAGTCGCATTCAGATATTTAGTGGAGGCTACAAGTCGAATGAGGATTATGTCTATGTACGTGGTCGTGGTCGTGGCAAATACGTCTGTGAAGAATGCGGGATTCGTTGCAAGAAACCAAGCATGTTGAAAAAGCACATCCGGACACACACTGACATGAGACCTTACCAATGCCAAATTTGTAACTTTGCTTTCAAGACCAAAGGGAATCTCACCAAGCACATGAAGTCCAAAGCACACAGCAAGAAGTGTACCAAGAATGGGATCTCTCCATCAGATGATTCTTGCATGGAACATCAGTTCTCAGATGCTGCCGATGAAGACACAGATTCTGTTGATGGTGACACCACAGATGAAGATGAGGATGAGGATGAGGATGATGACATCTCAGAAACTCAGTCTGAAAGTGCTGTCCCAGTCGGTGGCACAGTACCTCACAGGGAACGTTACAGCTCTGTGCCAAACATCCAGGACATGCCTGACAGTTTAGATAGCCAAGGACGGCCACTGGTATGGCATCAGTATCACCCTGGAAGACCCAAGAAAGAGCAGACTGAGTCACAAGAAAGGCCCAGGAGAGACTCAACAGGATCTATCCCACCCTCTGATTCTCCAAAGAGTGGAACTGCATCTAAAGATGATGAGAAACAGCCAATTAAACTCTCCAGATCTGAAGTTGTTGGGAAACTGAGTCGTCATCTTACCAACAGACACCAGCAGAGTCTTGAAAAGGCGCAGAAGGCTAATGCATCTGCCGCAGGGAAGTCAGGAGACAGCAAAGACCACGAAAGTAGCAAAGTATTTGACATATCACAACTGCCACCATTTCATGCCAGTAATCTGCTGCCTCAACCAACAAATCCCACAAATGTCATACAGCCTCTGGGAAGCAATAGTGATACTAAACCTCCAGCGCCCCCTGTTCTTGACAAATACGGCCACATTGTGCTGACTATGTCAACTTCATCAACCAGCCAGTATCGTCTTTCAACTACCATACAAGGAAGTCTCAGCTCTAGAAGTAAGCCAGGAACAAATAACGGTTTAACAAGCAGCTTGACGTCACCAACCGCTTTGCAGATATCTTCAAGCAACGAAAAGCAGAAGATTAATACATCTCCTCGAGCATCACATCACAATACAGAATCTTTCCCAGCAGGATCACCTTTCCTACAAAGCCAGGTTCAAAGTGCAGCATCTACAGTAACTACCTCAGGGGCACTGTACCAGAAAGATCACACACCAGGTGTTGTAAGAACTCCAAGTAGCTTACCAACTGCAAGTGTCTCACAGACAGATGTGTCTTGGGCTTTTACTTTTCCATCCCATCATGAACCACCTCACACAGTAAATGTCCCACCTGGGGCATCAAACTTAGTCGTTGGCGTGAACCCAATGCATTCCATGTCAAACAGAGAGATGCACTTGTTTCCTCCTTACGTAGTAGCAAGTGAGGCTCAGCCAGCTGTAGGAACAAGCCCCAGAGCTTATCCAACCAACTTTGGAGTATTTCCACATGGACCAAGAATTATGTCACCTCCATTTCTGGCTGGTTTCCATGATCTCACACGACCAGTTACCTCTCCAGGTGTGAATTCAAATAGACCAGTCCTTCAGTCGCCAACTCCTCCAATAAAGCCACAACTTTCGCCAAGGAATAATCCAACCTCATCTGGCTTGTACCCTTCCTCCAGTGGATCAACACAAAGTCTACCACCACCTATTTTTGTAGAAGCCATCTCAGACGATGAAGATGAACGTGGCTCAAGGAAACGACAACAAGTTGAAATACAGCAAAACAAATTACTGGTGTCGGGTAGCATCCATCCAGGAAACAGTTCATCTTCAGTGCCATCTTGGATGTCTGAACCAGGGAGTACTATTAAGCAGCTGTTGTTAGCACGACCTTCGTTAATTCCTCCTCTACAAGAAAATACCAAGTTTCCCTTCTTTTCACCATTTCTACCTCCATCATTGGCATCTCCTAAACTGACCAAGAGCAGCCCCATAGTTTCGTTGAATAGTTCTCTTCAACCACCCCTAGTCTCACCCATGGTCCCTTCAAAAATGATGCAGCTGCCTCCAACAATACTCTCTCAGGTCAGGTCTCCAACAGTGCAATCATCAAGTTTCTCTCTTAGAGAAGATCATCGTGATTCCCCAGGGCCTTTTGTGCCTCCTGTTGCAAGAGCTAAGTCCCAGTTTCAGATGGCACCTCCACAGTCTCAAATGCATCTTGATAAATCACCAAGTGGAGATCAGATCCCAGTAGAGGTAGCTGAGGAGCTTGTATCATCTCCAACACAAAGTGGCAATCACAAGTGCTCCAGCTGCAACAAGATATTCATGAAGCCAAGCCAACTAAGAATCCACATGAGAATTCATCTTGAAGAGAATGCCTTCTCATGTCCGGAATGTCTGCTGTCTTTCCCAAGCCGGATTCTGTTGGCCAAGCATGAGCGGTCAGAGGAACACCTCTCAAAGGTTGACGCTGTTGAACTGCCTTCTGCATCCACTGAGAGCGATCCACGTCCCTTCAAGTGTAAGGAATGCCAAATAGCATTCAGGATTCCAGGTCATCTTGCCAAGCACCTGAGGTCACGAGGTCACAGGATGACCTTGGAGAGAGAGGGGAAACTGCCGCTACCAAAGGATGAACTTCTAAGTCCAGATACAATGTCTGATGTAGAGCAAGGAGATCTCATTATTGATGATAGCCATCAACCTTCCAGCCCTGCTGGATCATCAGACAAGACAGACAGCGCCAGTGAAGGTGGTGACATGGAGCAGATGGACACCAGCTGAACTTGAAAGGTAACTGTTTATACCACACATGCCAAATATTAATTCATAAAACTACACCTGTCAATAGCTAACAAATTTAAGGTTAAAATACCTTGTAACTTCCCTTTCCTCTGGAAAGTTTGAAATTGAGCTTCGTTTATGGCGTAATATTTTTGCAATGTTAAAATTTGTGGATGATGTATTGGACATGCATCACATGATTTTGAAGTATTTTTAGCATCTGGTAAACAAGTTCAAAATCTGTACAGTTTAAGTACTAGTTAAAAATGTGTCACAGATTGGAACGCATGACCTTTGTGCACTCATTGAACTCAAGGCATGATTGAATTTCCCCCTTTTTCCCCTCCAGCTTCAAAAGTAAAGTCTACCCCTGAGTCAAGTGTTGTCATCAGCATCACCAGTCAACTTCGAAGCCATGAGAGACACAGTTCTTTCATACAAGATCACGTTTATACGGATTGTGTAAGGTAACACGAAAAGCTTCAAAAGTTAGGGTGAAGAACCAGTCTCTGTTATTTCTATTATCAAGCAGGTGAAAATTTAAACAGGAGCAACTGAAAGTTCACTTTATTATAATAAGAAGCACCTCACAATGTCAAACTCGTGCGCAGCTTGAGCAAGATATACATGCATAAGATTTAAATTTATTGTTTGCTTTGTATTATTAATCGGGTTTCTTAAGGGACGGAAATATTTACGTTCTGTAAAATTACTGAAACTGATGTGCCAAGCCGTTGGTTCTTTGTACAGCTGCAGAATTTGAAATTTTAATCGTCCAGTGAATCACTGCAAAAATCAAACGATGGCATGTGTTATGTTTACACTTCGTCGCGTCAGTGCAACAAGGTTGTATCTCCTAAAATGGCATGAATGACGCAAAATGCGAGTTTTAGAATGTCAAAAGGTCGTATCTCGCTTAAAATAACCCGGAGGTACATGCAAAGTCAGTGGACGTCGAGATACGACCTCGTTGCACGGAGCTTATTCGCGCGAGATTCGACTTTGTTGCAGAATGGAGTTACGACCTTGTTGCACTGACGCGACGACTTAATCTCTGATTTTAAAGAAAAAGTTTTACACAGGGCAGTGTTCTGATTGGTTGAGAGTTTCGGTGATTTTTATGACGGTGCGTAGTATATAAAGTGTGTGTAGATAGGAAATGGCAGCTTATTATAGTGCGTCGTATGAAGGCAAAATGGATTGAAATAAGAATAGTTTTATTGAAAAATTTTATGTCCAAATTATTGTACTAGAAAGTTATGCTTATGTAAATGTAACGTCTTCATATAAACGCAATCAAATTGTGTTTTGTACATTAAGTGTATTTTTGGTAATACAAGTATTGGTTAAAGAATTAGAGATTTCGAATTCAGTGACAAATGTTTGAAAGAGATTGAAAATATAATCTAAGAAAAGCTATTATTTTCTAACAACCAAAGTGTAACGATATAAAATTGGGTCAAAAACAAATTTGGAATTACAGATCTTGTTAGGAAATAAGTGTAACTAAAAGTGTTAATCCTTTCACCAAATCACAGTTTCTATTCATCCACTCACTGGCTTGAGATTATGTGCATCATAACAGTCAAACAGAATCTGTGGAATTTCTGAAAGTGATTTTGTTTCGTTGGAAGTGAACCTGATTTTGCAGGTTTTAGACTAAACAGATGTCTATGAAAAAGGACGAATTATCAGATACCTGTAATTTTTTTCTTGAAGTCACATTTTTTTTGTAATTGGAAAAACAAATCAAAAGTACTTGTAAGCTTTGTTTTACACAAAAAGCCAGGTGTGAATCTTTATAATCCAGCTTACTATCCAAATCATTGGTACCTGTACATGTACTCATATCTTCGTGAAACGAGTCATGATCCTATCCTATACAGTAAAATAATGCAATAATTGAAGGCTCGCTAATTGCAGCAAACTTCATCAGCTTTGCATGTACATGTATACTACTATACTTCGCCCTTCTCTGTTTGATGTAGCAACAGTTTGAGTACGGTATAGGGATGAAAACCCAAACGATCATTTCACAGCCTGGTTGAACATTATGCTTACTCTGTTTGCACATGTTTATTTTTTTCCCTTTCACACTGCATAAACAAATGTAAGTCCTGTATGTGATGTAGCTTTCCATTCGCATCAGTTTAATATTTCTTGCAACTTTTAATAATGTGCATCATACTGAACCGAACAGCGGGCTGTCGAACTTGAACCTCTTTTATTAGTTACAATCTTTGATCTGTCATATCTGTATTTCAATTCGAAAACCTTGTCATGTTCCTTGGTAATTTTGAATATTTTAGTTGTGTCAAAATTGTCATTTCACATTTTAAATTAGTAGAGCGGTGCAGTGCACATGTAAACTGCAAATTAGTTTGGTTTTTTTGGGAAGCAACGAAGATTGTAGTCTGGTTGTACGTTTGTTTTATGTAAGACTGCAAGAATTTGGTTTCACTTTTACTGAACAATACGACCATTTTGGAAAAGAACTCATGCATTGTTGTTTTGGAACGTAAGGACGCGTTTATTTAACTTGGAAACTGCCAACACGTCTACAATTGAATCAAACTTCGTTTTATCATTTTGTGTATTAGTTCACGTGCTGCCCTGCCAACATATTTAAGTATCACCCAGGAAAAATATGACTATAATAATGGTCAGTTTATGACGAAACTTCAAGAGGGCATTCCTTTGACCTTTTAAGTTGTAAATTGTACGTCAACCGGAATCTGTAAGATAAATCTTGTATGGCCAAGTGTTTCCACCAGACTTCGCTTAGAGGAAAGCCTTCATTAACACGTGGAGCGAAGTTCTAAGCTGGCACTAGAGGCAGAAGATGCATGTGTCAGTGGCTTAACTGGAAACACTAATACTATCATTCGATATCTTGTGAATATTCTCCATTTATGTTTTTCCGATCCATGTATAAACCATTTTAAACCTTACTTGACAGTGTACTAGCCGGTTTTTGTTTCAGGCACACTTGCAGTGGCATGTTTAGTGCGGGCAAGTTCTCGCATCGGGCATGGTGGGAGCCTCAAATCAAATGAAAACCTCCAATACGATAATATTGCTGTTAAAAGCGCCCTCAACTGGCTGTGCATAAGGACCCAAACCAACAGCTGAAATCACATTTCTCGTATTTGTTGCATATGATGTATATTTAAAGAGATAAATCTGTATAGTACCGGACTTCAAATATTATGTACATAGGGATTGACTGTGTTGTGTGATTCCCATACCCAGTGGTTATAAGCTTTAGCAGATGTTTCATATTTTCTATTTAGTATTCTATTTCGTCATTGGTGGTAGTTTTACCCATATTGTGTGTATAAAAATAACTATACAACAAAAAAATATATTTGGCGATATTTGCAAAATTGAATTGGATTTTATAGTTTCTTTTATTATCTTTGTCTGTGTTGTACACAAGCAAGAAATCTGGTATTAATTTTCGTCTGATACACCAGCCCATGGAATGGGAAGTGTGGTATTCGTTTTGTATAACGCCGTCCATTTCTTGGCTGTTTTGGCCTAATTTCCTGTTTGTTCCAAACGTCGGACTTGTGATTTGTACTGTGTCAAACATCAATACTCAACAAGTTTGTCAACAACTGAAACAGGAGCAACTTGTCTAAAGATTATCAGGTGCAGCCGATTCACGAAACTTTTCGCAGTGGCACAACTCTGCTTAGCGCCACAATTCATTGCTATTAAGCTGCACAACATTTCACTTGAGACATTTCACGAAAGTCTCATATAGTCCGCAACTTGCGCAATGGCGTAACTTGCGCAATCATTTTCGGTGGCGTAGTTTTGGCGTGGCGCCCGTTGTTTCACAGCGTTTCAATGTCGATATACAATACGCGCACACACTATTCTTGTTTGAAATAAATGCATTTCTGCTTTACCAGTGACAGATTTTTTTTAGTGTTGCACGATTCTGAAGAAAGTCGGACGAAATAAGTTTCAAAATGGCGGGCTCAGATGATTCAACGACTGTTTCGTGAACGAACAAATTCATACACAAAAGGCCGTTGTAAATGCTGTTATCCTCGTCCAAGATATTTAGATTATTTAGAACGTTGCGCATCTACGCCAAGTTTCGTGAAATCGATCGTAAGTAGCGTAAGTCTATCCTACGCGTGGCGTAAGCAAAGCACTTTTTTTGTGTGAAATCGGCTGTTGCAACAATACAGTAAACAGTTTGTTTGCTATTGCTTCACTTGTTTTCTTGTTTTCAAGGCGCATTTGAAAGGGAACAAAATATTTAAAACATTTTGAACACAATCAATGCGTAAATTGTGTTTAAAAAACATTCTGGAATAGAATTTAACGCATGTTCTTTAAATCCCACTTCATAAAAAGTCGAACAAGTTACGTGTGAGTGTAAAACAAACTCTTCTACTGTGTGTTTTTAAATGCTCCCACATGTACTAGCACACATGTCACCTTGTGTATCTTGATCCATGAATCAGCCTTTTATTTTGGAATCCACCCAACAGAATCTAAAAAAGTCCGATCGAAAGTTGGCCAAAAGCCTGACAAGTTCACCGCCGTTGTTTCAACCTGTCTTTAATCACTTACAAAATAACAGATCAGATTTGACCTTTTGGACTCCAGGCGCGCTAATCACAAACTTTCCCCCGCCAAATTGGCCCCTAATACCCAATTCCTTCCGTTTGACGTAGCAAACTCCCCATCCGGGAACTCCGGGGATTCCGTGAGTCTTCTGCGCCTGCGTGTGACGTCATAAGAAAGTGATCCCTCAGTCAACTGTCATAGTCGGCTGTTTGGTGTTTAGGGTGAGCCCCTTGTGATGACGTCAGTCGAGCGCGACTGGCGTGACCTGAATGTTGTTGAAAATAACTAAATCGAGGGACGGCTCAGAGGTGAACCGAGTCCTTCGCTGTAAATTGTTTTTAACTTGAAGCCGCACTGTTCATTTGATTTTTAACTTTAAATTTTTTGTGTAAAATGAATACAATTATAAAAACGTTATGACAGTTCTCTGTATAAAACTCTTATTCAACTTTGGACCTGCACCTAAAAAGGGAGAACTAAAATTGTCTAAAATATTTCGAGTAGCGATTTTATAGTCTCTGTTGAGCACTAGTTGATACAGCAGTAAAAGGAAAACCAATCAGGAAATCCATCAAATTATGCAATTTTGAAAGATGACGGCGGATGTTGAGGTCAACTTGTGGTCAACCGCGGGGGGTTAAGGTCGGCGTGGTCTGAGTAGATCCAGGAAGGAAAGACAGTAACTGCTGGAATAAATGCAGGAAGTTGTACAATATACAGGTGGCTTCTGAACAGGTGTGCCGTGTACAGGTTGGTTTTAAAAAGTTTACACATTTTGAGATGCAGATTTCTTGGAATAGGGAAGATAAGTTAAAATTGCTTCAAGATATTCCTAAACTACAGCATCTTTGTGGCATATGGTGAAAACGGTGCTGAAAATGAAGCCTAAGATAAGAAAAGGCGATGGTTTAAAGGAAGATGGTCAAAATTCAGTTTGTCCACCGGCAAGTCTATGGAATTTGAGCTTGCAATACAATAGCACTGTACGCAAAGAGCTGCAATAATTGTGATTAGGTATACATGACTGCCATAGACGTGGACAAACTAGTTTTTGACCATTCTTCTGTAAATGGCCGCTATTTCTTAACTTGAGCTTTACTTTCAACGCCGTTTTCACTGTACCACCAAGATATTGTACTTTATTGTAGTTAAGGAATGTCTTAAAACAATACCAACATGCCCCTTCAATTTTGAGAAATCTGCCTCTGAAACAGTGAAAACCTTTTTTGGACCACCCTGTACATGTTATAAAACCTATACTTGTCGAGTTGAACGTTTGAATAGCACCCCTGGAGTTTGCGTCCCCAGACCTAACGGCCCGCTCTTCAAAAATTTTGAAGCTGCTGATTCCTTATCGTGACAAAAAGTGGCAGCTTCTGCGTGTGCGTGTTGTGAGAGCACGGGCGTAAATCCCGGGTCCCCCCCCCCCCCCCACGGCTTTGTAATTTTAGGATGTTGTCGTATGGTCATATCTTTCTCCCCCACTCGCCGACACGGATTTATGTCAGTGTGTGAAAGTGTCCGCTCATGAAGGGGTGCATACAATTATGTTCCCCAATACCTAAGTCCCCAATACCTATGTTCCCAAACCCTAACCCTAACCCTATGGGACGTCGGACCAGTGGGACGTCGGACCAGTGGGACGTCGGACCAGTGGGACGTCGGACCAGTGGGACGTCGGACCAGTGGGACGTCGGACCAGTGGGACGTCGGACCAGTGGGACGTCGGACCAGTGGGACGTCGGACCAGTGGGACGTCGGACCAGTGGGACGTCGGACCAGTGGGACGTCGGACCAGTGGGACGTCGGACCAGTGGGACGTCGGACCAGTGGGACGTCGGACCAGTGGGACGTCGGACCAGTGGGACGTCGGACCAGTGGGACGTCGGACCAGTGGGACTTCAGACTATAGACATGGGCGTCGCGAGGGGGGGGGGGGGGCAAGGGGGAGGGGCGCTTGCCCCCCCAAGAAAAAGGGGGGGGGGAGAGAAAAAAAAAAGGAAAAAGAGTTGCGAAGCCATATTGCTGTTAATTTCATAGGGGGGGGGGGTTAGGGCAAATGCACCCTTGCTCACGCTCGGAAAAATGATAAATTGAGAATACACTGAAAAAGTTAAGGAATTTTTTGGGGAAATTTGCTACCCCCCCCCGGAAATTATCCTGGCGACGCCCATGACTATAGAGACGTCCCCCGTTACAACACCTCCAAAAGTATTGACTGAGTTGAGATCAACAAGAGGTTGTGTAAGTGGGAGTAGTCATGATCGATAATTCAAACCTGCACAATAACCACAATAAATCCTACCAATTTGGCACTATGCATGGTGCTCCGAGAAACAGGAAACCCGGGCCCTTGAAACCTACGGCCTGTATACGCCCAATATGCCCACGCCCGTATAAGCTTAGGCCTACTTAGTTCTCTCCAGTATTTAGGAAGTATACTTAAAGTGAAGTTACACTAATCTTATTCAATAATTGTTGAGTGTATTTGAACTTCACTGTTCGGGGGAGCCCGTGGCGTCATATATTATGGAGGATTTAAATAATAATAAAATAATAATAACAGATTGAATTTTGTTTTATTTATTTGATGGAACAACCAACTCCACAGTCACCAAATGTATTAATAATTTTTAAGAAACTAATTTATGATGACCTAAATTCGTGTTCAATAATGTATCGTTGTATTTATTCGAACTTCACTTTTCGGGGAGCCCACTGCGTCAGCTGTTATGGAGAATTCAAATAATAATAATAACATAAAAAGAATATTATTAATTTCATGGAACAACCAGCTCCACATTCACCAACATTTTTATTTGAAACAAACTGATTTCTGATTATCTAACTTCTCGGTGAATTTGTTACCATGAATTCGCAAAAAAAATCAAAAAAAAAATCGAGGAAATGCCACCGGAAGGCCTGGATAAGCAATACAGTTTGTTTCTTTCCTTCCTCCGAGTCGGTTCTGCAAATTCACTGTTAACTGTACACCAATCTGTGGTTGGTATAATTATAGGAAAGCACCAAAATTTTGTGAGCAATCCCTGGATTTATGCACCCAATTTGTTATTGATTCCCAGAACGACTATAAGCAAATTGAAGCGGAGACGGAGTGTTTCCTGCCAAGTAGCTCGTGTTGGCATCGTACCAACCAGCTTCCGACCAATTGCCTTTCATCCTGTGTCGTCTGTCATGAACGTTTCCATCTTGAATTCATCAACTCCGATCCAAATTTAGCTCGCGAGGGTGGTTCCCTTGGCTTGAAGGAAAGTTTAGACAACCCAAGGTGCTGCACCCTGTTCCTTTACGAAACTTTAACCCTTGTTGATTTGTGTTTTGTCTTGTTATATCGGAACATAGCGCGGGCGGAAACCGTAACTCTGTGGTTTTCCTGCCATCACGAATGTAAGGTAAAAGTTCTTGGGCGTCGCCAGGATTTTTTTTCCTGAGGGGGGCAAAGCACATTTCCCCCGAAATCCTTGTACTTTTCCAGCATATTCTCGATTAATCATTTTCCGAGGGTGGGCAGGGACATTTCCCCAAACTTTAAATAAACAGCAATATGACTTCACGCCTCTTTTTCTTTCTTTCCCCCTTTTTCCTTTTTTTTGGGGGGGGGGGGGGGAAGCGCCCCCTTGCTTCCCCCCTCGCGACGCCCATGGACAAGATGCTAACACTATGACGAGCGGGAATAAAACAACACAGAAACTTCTCACTTTGCATGCAAGCGGCACTAGAAAAAAAGGTGCTATTGCGTGAAAATAAGTACATATCCTTAGAGGTAATTTAGGTAAAGTA